GTGGTTCAATACACTTGCTTAGCTTTGAGTTCCGGGGTCCATTACATGCATATACTGAGGTATTTCCTTGCTTTGGGGCCATTATACATCATATTTCAGAGCTTGTTTGAATGCCATATTGTCATGTTTTATACTCTTTAAATGCGTTTGAGAGTCGGGCTTGTATGCTTCATTTATCGACCATTGAATGAGCTCCATTTCTTTGCATTCCGAGCCATCATTTTAGGCCATTTCCCCACTGTTTCCGACCTGCCTAGGGTTTATCTGGGGTTGGTTTTTCCATTAGTGCATTGCTTTGGGTACCTCTAGAGTAACACACTTCACTAGTTTCGGTACCCAAGCCCCCCGGCTTGCATTGTGTGCCATATTTGCATGATTCGAGACCATTGTTTATCATGTGTCAGAGTTGGAGAATGCGTGTTTTTATGCCATACTTCATCCTTTGCCATGCTTAGTTAGAGTTGCATGTTGTGCCTTAGGATCGATCGTTTGCATCCGTGCATGTTTGCATGTATTTCGGTTGTCTCATTTCCATCATATGGCCACTGATTTGAGTGTGGCTGAGGTCCACTCATATTGGTTTAAGTCCACCTTGCATTGTGTATGCCATGTTGCAATGTGTTGTGCATGTTATGTTGTTAGCATTGTGTATGCCATGTCATTCCTCGCATTATGTATGCTAGGTTGTTAGTCGCATTGAGTATGCCATAGGTTGTTAGACGCATTTAGTTCATGAGCATTATGCATGCCATGTAGTGTTAGCATTGTATATGCTAGGTGCATGTTTGCATTTTCATCCCTTGCATGTTTGCTTCATTCAGTGGCATTGCATCTAGGATTGCATGTTAGAATTGCATTCATGCATATCATGCATATTGCATTGTGTTTGGAGTAGGGTTTAGTCCAAACACGGGAAACGAGGGATGTTTCGTACTCCAAGTAACGAAACGTGCATTAATTCCTGGTCGCCGACGCTCTAGATTATCCATGATAGAGTTTAGGCCTTGTTGCGTTCATATGTGCATTCATTTCACATCGAGTCGTGCAATTCGATTCCTCAGTCATCATGCATCGAGATACGTGATTGGTGGCACGAGGATCGAGGACCACACTCCCTAGAGCTTGTGCAATGACGGGGAGAGTGGTCGTGCACACATGTGTTGCAAATACCTTGCTTTCTTTTCCTCTTGCCTTTGTTGCAGAAAAACCAGAAACTGGAGGCAGGAACTGGTCGGCTGACCAGCTTTTCTGGCAGACCGACCACCCCTTTTGGTTTTTCCCATATAAACTGGTCGGTGGGTGGTCTCCAAGCCCAATAGTTGGTCGGTGGCCCTCCCACACCTTTCCAGAGTGGAGTTTCAGCCTCTTGGAGCTTTGTGCAAGTTTCTGGATTCAATTGCAAACAAAGGCGAGTCAAGACATCACGATGGAATTTACCGACACGGCAAGTTGAGCATGCATACACCCTTTATCATTCCGAGCAGAGCTGAGGCAGTCCATTGCGCATAGCATAGCATGCTAGTTTACTTTGCTTACCAAGTTCATTTGTTAAGTAATTAGTGTTGTGTAATAATTCGTTATTTATTTTGGTTGTGTAATATTCATTCGGACCCTCCGAGCGAGGGCACAATTGTAATAAGTGTGCGTGTGTGTGATGCATGTCTTCCAACCCCACGTCTTTCTCCCTTTTATTTACCAACTTATGATGGTTAGATTAGGGCCTGTTTCAATTAGCATACTTATGCTTGCATGTTTGCATCATTCATCTATCTTGCATGCACCGGGCTCGGCGCATCATACTAACTGCATCGTATTTCAATTCCAAGTTGAATATGTGTTAGCTGTAGCATCTCATATACCATTCTTAGAATAGCCGAGCCTATTATAGTTGCATCTTTGCATGTGTTGCATTAGGCATTTCTGTATAGTTAGGATCATGCATGGATTTCTAACATAGCTTTTGTTTTGGCTTGGAGTACTCGGTAAGTTTTATGCTTTAGCATCCTTGCATGCGTGTGAGTGACTGCCATGATAGCATGCTTATCATGAGGCTATTTGCTTATGTGATATACCTGCCTGAATGCCTGTGGGTGAAGGTTGGATTATCTAAATTGAAATAATGCATGGACTGTGAGTTTTAAGCCCACTAGATAGTGGCAAAACCATGTTTCCTAAGCCCACTCGAGGGTGGCGAAATCTGCATTTTTTAGCCTACTTGCGAGTAGCAAACCACTTTCAAAAACCAAACATGAAATGTTTTGCTCCAATTCAGGCGATCCAGTCTATACTTGTACGCTGTGCACATCACATACTAAATCTAGGCTAATAACCGGAATAAGAACGCATAATGTTTTCAAAACTAGATATCATGGTTAGTAGAGGTCGATCTTTGATCAGGCGAGCGGGGGTGCTCACGAAGTGACCTTCCCCAATCGTATCCAAGTTCCCGAGCCGAGGCAACTTTGGTGATGACGGACACGTGGTCTTAGGCAAACGAGTCAGGGTTTCCTAAATTCTCCAAAATAAAATATTTAGGTGGCGACTCTGTATCTGGCAAAGCAGTCCATGTTTGACACTTTTTTCAAAAAATCTGTTTTCAAAAACGATTTGTCGGATTTGGACTCTTTGAAGATCCATCGGTCTTGCATTGCACTCTGCGAGATTAGATACAGGACCGTGACATTTGAGTCCTGAACTGTAGTAAGCCCAAATGAACGAAATGGGATTCATCCTCCCTGGACGTTCGGGGACGTCTACAGTTACCTTTGTTGACTCGGGAATCAGTGTCTGGATCCACTTTAAATTCCTGAAGACTTTTGATTGACGTTGGATAACTGTAATGAGTCACTAAACTAAATACCGAATTGAATTGTGAATTGCGAAATTATTAAAGAATGAATTGAACTTCTGTGACAAGGGAATAGACCAAACTTTTATGGTAAAGTTAGCTAACATTTGAAATAAATATGTTGGTGACCTATTGTGAAGAAGGAAATTGTTGAATTTGTGTCTAAATATTTTCAGTGCCAACGAGTCAAAGTCGAATATCAGATATAGATGGAACTACTTCAACCTCTCTCTATTTCGGAATGGAAATAGGAACATGTGACTACAAATTTCATTGTGGGGCTACCTTGAGCACCCAAGGTATAAGTCCCGTTTGAGTTATTGTATATAGAGTTACTAAGTCCGCTCATTTCCTCCTCGTAAAATTTTTGTATGATGCTTATAGACTAGCCACTGTTTACATCGATAAGATTGCTTGTTTGCATGGAGTCCCAATATCAATTGTTTTAGACATAAATCCTAAAATGTGTATGAATTCTGACAAGCCTTCAAGAGGCAATGGGAACTGAATTGTAATTCAATGCCGCTTTCCATTCGCAAATCAATGTGTAATCAGAAAGAACTTTTTAGATTCTGGGAGAAATGCTACAAATGTATGCATTAGACTTTCAGGGAAGTTCGAAAAATCTATCCATCATTGGCAGACTTTGCTTACGACAACAGCTTACACTCTAGTTTCGATGTGACACCATACAAGCCTTGTATGGAGGGAAAGGTAAGTCTCTGACTGATTGAGAATAGAGTGTTGCCTGATTTTGAGACTAAGCAAATAACTATCAAAAGGATTGGAACCGTTGAATAAAAAGTATTCCGAATTGTTTTCGACTAAAGATAAAATAAGTTTGGAGGACCAAACTTCCTAAAGGGGGGAAGATTGTGATAACCCTGGTCCATGTTATGCTAATTAAATCTTGATTATGATTGTGATTATGTGTTTGATATGATTTTGAGTGCCATTTATCTGAATATATGTGGTTTTGGATTTCTATCTGTTCACCGTAGGAAAATCTGTTTGATTATCTGCTTTAGAAATTAAAGTGAAGGCCTTATCGGCCACAGAAATCGAAATTGATTACGCCATTGTGATTAGCGTAATTTTTAGAGCCTATGGTGAAATTTAATTGAAAATTGATTCGAATCAAAATAATTAGATTCAGAATGGTTAATTAGAGTGCCATTACTTAAACTTTATCAATGTGATTAAGCAAGCCTATAAATAGGCCAATATACACTTAAGTCCCTCATTTTGTGAACTCAAAATCTGAAATGTGCTCGAGAGAGAGAGAGAGAGAGAGAGAGAGAGAGAGAGAGAGAGAGACAGCTCTAGAGAGAGAGAGAGAGGGGCTCAGATTATGAATGTTGGCTCAAAGCTTGGGGATTGGAAGCTAAACTCAAAGATCTAGCTAGAATTTGTGAAGATTGAAGCTCCTAGGTGAGTATTTGAGCATAAATTCATATTTGAGCCCCTAGCCAAAATTTCCTGGTAGAACAAATATTTTTTGCCAGTTGTCCTCCTATGTGCATGCCCTGCACCAGCTGGCTCAATACAGATATTTCTGAGATAGCAACCAGTTTTTCTATATATACTTGACCATGCTGTCCAATTGTTGATTGTTGTTTTTCTTTTCTTTTGCTAGGTAGTTTGCAAACATAGCTTCAGGCAGACCTAATATCCCCCAAGTTTTGTGGACTCGCTCTAGCAGACTTTGCAAAATCTAAGATCTAGTTGACAGTCAGCCAGCGTTAGTCTCTCTCCCACCGGTTACACGGAGAAGAAGAAACAGGCAGTTCTCATCCTCAGCACAGATCACTTAGCAGTTACCTATATGTTCTTACTTACTCAGCTCACCAATAGCTAACTCTCCAAGACCTGTCATGACGCAAAGTCTAGAAGAGGTTGTTGCTATGATGGCAGCTTTTCAAAGAACCATGGATACCTTGAATCAAAAAATCGCTGCTCAGGATGAAACCATAGCTAAAATGCGACGCTTATCTGGGGTATCGACATCTACTACACATCCAGTCCTAGCTGCCTAGCCGAATACTGATCCACCTTTACCAGTTGAAAATCCATAAATCCTGGATCCTCAAGAGATTTTGGCACAGGCTCCAGCTTTCAAGCCTCTGGCACCACCCTACTCCTTCCTTTCGACATGAACAATATTGATCAGGCTCTGATAAAAATCGCCAGGGTAGAAAAGGTGCTCAAGAAATCTCAAGACTTCCATTCTATCCCGGATATTGAAGATAGTTATACCGAGGCCTCTGCCAGGTTACCGAAAAAGTTCAAAATGCCTCACATTGATAGATTTGATGGTAGTGTGGATCTTATTGTTCATGTTCGCCTGTCCTCGGATGTTCTGAGACCAATGGGCCTGACTCTGGCTCAGAAAATGTCATTGTTCAGAAGAACTTTATTGGACATGATAGCTATCTGGTACACTAAACTGGAGGATTCTACTAAGCAGAATTGGGAAGAACTATCTGATGGGTTTGTTAATCAATACTCCTACAATACTCAGATAGAAGTAACAATCAACGAGCTGGAAGAAACCACTCAGAATCCCAAGGAACCCTTCATTGATTTTGTTGCAAGATGGAGTGCAAAGACAACCAAAATGATAGACAGGCCCTCAGAAAGGGAACAAGTCCGATTGGTAGTTCAGAATCTCGAGCCGGATATGTTACAAAGAATGATAGTAGTGCCACTATTTACATTTGCTTCTTTGCATGAGTTGCGGGTTCAAATCGAGAGTGCATTTAAGAAAGGCATCGTTTAGAGAACCAGTGAACCAGCAATAAGGCCATTTACTAAGAATACCAATGCTAACAATAGCACTATTCCTCAGCCTGCCGAGATCAGCACCCTCGCCACAATGCCAAAATGGCCAATCCCTTTGCCACTACAACCTTACAACCCCCCAGTCCAAACCAAAGCCAAAGAACCTTTACCCCCTTCACATAAGTCCAGTCCATGCTCTTAAATTGCTAATGGAAAAAGGGCACTTGAAGCCCCTCGAACCTCGACCTCTCCCTGACCCACTCCTACCTAGACATGATCCCACTCAATACTGTATTTTCCATCAACAGCACAGTCACCCCACTAATCGTTGCTATCGCCTACGTCATGAGATCCAAGATCGCATCGACAATAAAATCATTGCCCCATCCTCCAAACCAAATATGACCACCAATCCACATCCTACTCATAACCAAGTTCAACCACCCAGAAACGTCAACCTTATCCATACACTACCCGCCCACCTTTAGCCCCAGCGCATATATCACCCTATCCCATCTACCTAAGCTTGAGGTGGTCATTCCAGAAAGCACAGATATGTGCATGATAGACATAACACCCAAAACCCAATCGGGGACTATGGTGGTAGAGGCGGAAGAGAAGAAGAATACACCAGAGAAAGGGTTGTCTGACACCCAAGTTATAGACAAGAGGGCCTCACTTGTAGAATAGTATGACCCCAGCTGATACATTATGCTTGCTGACCAGCCAAAGCCTATAGTCATACTACCAGACTCCCTCAGCATCAACGCCATTGGGGAAGATGAGCTAGGGAAAAATCTGAATGATTGGCCTGAACAAGGCCTTAATGACCTGGCAGAATTGGAAGAAGACCTGGTTAAACTAGAGGAAGATTTGCAAAACCTCTACTTCTTCAAAGAAGAGGATGTGGGTAGCATACAGATTGGGGGATCCAAGCCAACCTGAATCCAACAATAAGTGGTTGAGTGAAAAGGAATCAGATATGGAGGAACAGACAAAGGAGATCGTGAAAGGAGAGGAAGTTGGTGACAACAACAAGGTTGAGGTCGTGCCTATGACTGAGGCCATGCCTATGACTGAGAAGGAATGAGAGTTGAAGTAGTTCCAACGAGAAATAATACAAGAAATCTAGAGGAAGATAGCCCATGGCAGGAAAAAGGGAAGAGAAAATAAGAGGCTGAGTTAACAGCAGAAGATGTCCAAACCTCGGGAAAGTCTGAATGGGAATCCAGTGACAGGGAAAGGATGCCAAGGAAGCTCAGGTAGTATCGAAACACAGAGACTGCATCTACTGTAGAAGAGGTGTGGTGTGCTGACGAAGGGTGTGATGTAAATATGATCTAGGTGGAACCTAATAATAACCCAACAATGATTCCAGGGAATGGTGGGAAGACAGTAATCTGAGCCATGTTGTAGACACCCAATTTTTGACCGACCTTAAGACTCAGACGTCACCAACTGAGCGCTCGGTGATGTTGCATATTGTGCTCATTCTGAGGTTGCAAAGTCTCGGCTGAGAACCTTGCCTCCAAGCTTTGGAACCTTTTCGTGCCTTGCCTCGGTTTGTGAACCAGGTCCTGTTTTCACTATTTTCTCCTCCTGAAGGGAGGGAGAGGTCTTGTAGACCATCTCTCAGTGGCCGTAGGCTATGTTTCGTGGTCGTAGGCCATTTTTCCCGTTTAGAGACCAGTTTCTGATTTTCAGAGCCGTCGGCTGTGTGCCTCGGTTCGGGAGGGACACCGAGTTGGCCATCTCCATCACTTTTGAGCCACATTTTCTGGTCTCCCATACCACCACTGAGTTGCATTCACCTGGGAGACCACCAATATGGGCTGGCCGACCACCTTTCAAGCTTGACCCTTTTGAACCTGGTCGGCCGACCACGGGGAGTGGTCGGCCGACCACTTGAACTGGTCGGCCAGCTCTCTGCAGATTTGTCTCAGTGAGTGTGTTCCAGCTGTGCCAGCTGGGAGGCATTTGCTGCATCCTCCATACACGTGTATGGAAGGGCGTCCCTTCATTTGCAAGGGTTCTGAAATTGCTGGAGCAAAAACCATACACTCCCCCTTCGTCTCTCTCCCTTTTGGCCTTCAAAACTCCATTGTTCTTGCACCATTACACACCACCTCCTATCCTAACACCTCCACCATCACTCTAAGCACCTTGGAGCTGTTTCTCAGAGGTTGAAGGTTTGCTACATTGGTTCAGAAGCTGTTAGTTCTCTTCTCTACAAGGGTAACACTTCTTTCCCTCTTTTTGTCTTCATTTTGCTTCATCTCTTAGCCTAGTTTGCAAGCATATTTAGGCTTTGTCATAAACTGAAAAAAGTCTTTTTTTGAGCTTCTAAACATGCTTGTTTAAGGCCATTTTTCTGTTGGGGGTCATCTACCCCCTTGCATGCTTCATTTCCTCTTGTTTTGAGCTATGCATTAGAGCATTTGTGTTGGCCTTGGTTTGGCCTTTTAGCCACTGAAATCCAGTAGATTTTCAGTGGCTAACATGTATTTTTGAGCCTCAAAATCAGAGAGGGGTGACCCTCTCACCCCTTGTTTTGTTACTAGATTTGTTGGCCTTACAAAGGAGCCCCTATTTGCATGTTTCAAAGCCATGTTTCAGGCCACTTTTTGTGAGTTTTGTGACTTGCATAGGCTCTATCCAGAGCCCTTTTTTCCTTGTTGAATGTCTATTATGCATGTGTAGAGTAATCCTCTTCAAGGCCTTCCAAAGGGGCCTTTACTTGCATGCTTCCTAGACTCATTTTAGGCCATTTTCAGTGAGTTTTAGGGCCCTCATAACCTCTTTCTAGAGGTAGTTTTTCCATTTTGTGTGTCCATCATACATGTGTAGAACAATCCTCTCATTGACCTTTCAAAGGAACACTTCATTCTAACATGTGTTGACTGAGTTTCAGTGGGTTTTTGGTCATATTTTGGCATGACATGTTTCTTTTTTTGGTTGGTTTTGTGGCCCCTCATGTGCTTCATATATATGTAGTGTAAACCATGCTTACTAGCCTACGTTGCATGTTGTTTTGGCCCTTCATGTTAGCACTTTTTGGCCATGCCTTAAACTAATTTTGTGCATATTTTGGACTGCCTTAACTCTATTTTTGGGTCTCATGGTTGAATGATGCTTGTTTTGCATGCTTGTAGTTCAATATCCATGCCTAGCTTTGAGATTTGAGGTCTATTGCATGCATATACTGAGGTGTTTTCATGCTTTGGGGTCATTATACATCATATTTCAGAGCTTATATGAATGCCATATTCCCATGATTTCCACTCTTTAAATCTGTTTGAGAGTTGTGCATAAATGCCTCGTTTTCGGACCATTGCATGAGCTTCGTTTCTTTGCATGTTGAGTCATCATTTTGGGCCATTTTCCCACTATTTCAGACCTACCTAGGGTCTGTTTGGGGCTGGTTTTTCCATTTGTACATTGCTTTGTGTACCTCTAGTGTAACCCGCTTTACTAGTTTCGGTATTCGAGCCATCTTGCATGCATTGTGTGACATATTTGTATGATTCGGGACCATTGTACATTATGTTTCAGAGCTGGAAAATATGTGTTTGCATGCCATAGTTCATCCTTTTCCATGTTTAGTTAGAGTTGTATGTTGTGCCATAGGATCGGTCCTTTGCATCCGTGCATGTTTGCATGTATTTCGGTTGTCTCATTTCCATCATATGGCCATTGATTTGGGTGTGGCTGAGGTCCACTCATATTGGTTTAAGTCCATCTTGCATTGTGTATGCCATTAAGTTCACGTTGTAGCATGATTTGATCATTGCATTGTGTATGCCATGTTCGTTTCATTGTGTTTGTTAGTCTTCATGTGCATTGCGTATGCCATATATAATCATCTTGCGTTGAGTATGCCATTGATTATTTCATAGCATTGTGTATGCTAGTAGCATGTTTGCATGTCATCCCTCGCATGCTTGCATCATTCAGTTGCATTGCATTTAGGGTTGCATGTTTGCCGCATTGTGTATGCCATCTCATTGCTTTGTGTTTGGAGTAGGGTTTAGTCTGAACACGGGAAACGAGAGACATTTCGTACTCTAAGTGACGAAATGTGCCTCGATTCTTGGGGACCGACACTCTTGACTGTCCATGACAGAGTTGTTGGCTTTACTTGCTTATATGTGCATGCATTTCACATCGAGTCGTGCAATTCGACTTCTCGGCCATCATGCATCGAGATACGTGATTGGTGGCACGAGGATCGAGGACTACATTCCCTAGAGCTTGTGCAATGATAGGGAGAGTGGTCATGCCTTTGTTGCAAAAAAACCAGAAACCAGAGGTGGAAACTGGTCAGCCGACCAGATTTTTTGGCAGGTCGACCACCCTCTTTGGTCTCCACCACAAAGGGTGGTCGGCAGGTGGTCTCCCATGCTAGTAACTGGTCGGTGGCCTTCCCAAGGTGGAGTTTTAGCCTTCTGGAGCTTTGTGCAAGTTTCTGAGATCAATTGCAAACAAGGGTGAGGCGAGGCATCGCGATGGAATTTACCGACAAGGTGACTCGAGCATGCATACACCTTTCATCATTCGGAACAAAGCTGAGGCAGTCCATTTTATTTAGTTTGCATGCTAGTTTATCGCTTACTTAGTTAATTTGTTGATTAATTAATGTCGTGTAATAATTAGCTGTAATTTGTTGTTTAGCTTAGATTAGCTAGATGGTTTGTACTATTCATTCAGACCCTCAGAGAGAGGGCCAATTGTTTTAATAAGTGTGCGTGTGTGTGTTGTATGTCTTCCAACCCCATGTGTTTCTCCCTTTTATTTTCCAGCTTATGATGGTTAGCTTAGGGCATGTTTCAATTAGCATACTTATGATAGCATGTTCGCATTCATTCATCTGTCTTGCATGCACGGGGCTCGACGCATCATACTAACTGCATTGTATTTCAATTCTGAGTTGAATACTTGTTAGTTGTAGCATTTCACATGCCATCTTTAGAATACCCGAGCCTATCTTAGTTGCATTTTGCATTAGGCATTTCAGCATAGTTAGGATCATGCATGGATTTCTAACATAGTTTCTGTTTTGGCTTGGAGTACTTGGTAAGTGTTTATGCTTTAGCATCCTTGCATGTGTGTGAGTGACTTCCATGATAGCATGCTTACCATGAGGCTATGTGCTTATGTGATATACCAACCTGAATGCCTGTGGGTGAAGGTTGGATTATCTGAATTGGAATAATGCATTGACTGTAAGTTTTAAGCCCACTTGAGAGTGGCAAATCATCTTGTTTTCTAAGCCCACCCGAGGGTGGCAAATTCGCATTTTTGCCTACTTGCGAGTAACAAACCGTTTCAAAAGCAAACATGAGGTGTTTTGTTCCAATTCAGGCGATCCAATCTATACTTGTATGCTGTGTGCATCACGTAGTAAATCTAGGTTAATAATCGGAATAAGAGCACATAATGTTTTCAAAACTCGATATCATGGTTAGTAGAGGCCGATCTTTGATCGGGCGAGCAGGGGTGCTCACGATGTGACCTTCTCTAATTGTACCCAAGTTCCCGAGCCGAGGAAACTTTGGTGATGACGGACACGTGGCCTTAGGCAAACGAGTCAAGGTTTCCTAAATTCCTCAAAATAAAATATTTAGGTGGCGACTCTGTATCTGGCAAAGCAATCCATGTTTGGCACTTCTTTCTAAAAATCTGTTTTCCAAAACGATTTGCCAGATTTGGACTCTTTGATGATTCATCGGTCTTGCATTGCACTCTGCGAGATTAGATACAAGACCGTGACTTTTGAGTCTGAACTATAGTGAGCCCAACGAACAAAACGGGATTTCCGTCCCGAGACGTTCGGGGACGTCTACAGTTTCTGGCGACTCTGCTAGGGAGTTAGAGAACTTGACTCAAACTCATGATATCTTGTTTTGAATACACTTATGTGTTTCTTTGCATTGCATTTGCATTGG